GAGGATTTGCAGCCTCAGAAACCCAAAGGAGGGTCCCAAGTCAGGACTGATGGGATAGCAGGAGTTTTGGGGTTTGGTGGTAAATCCCGTTTTTGTCTTATATGTTTAGTGGTAAATGATGTTTTTTAACTCGGAAGATTTCCTGTAGATGTTCTTAGTCATTGAAATAGTCCTTTCATTCTGTCCTGTTGGTCCTGTGACTTTACTGTCTTGACATAGAGCACGTTTCCTGCTCTCACGAGGGCAGGACATGGGTGAGTCAAAGCAGAGAGGGAAGAATTCCAGAGACTCTGACCTGGGGACTCTTCCTACAAGTAAGATAGGCGGAAAAGGGAGGCGTCGGAACTGACAACCCACGTTTCTAGTTCTGGAGAATAGAAACATAGTGGGTGTAATTGACACAAATGAGGAGACTTCTGAAGTTGGGATATTAAAGTACTAAATTTCTGGTGTTGCAGCTGATCCCTGAGTGAGCGAAACCACAGATGGCGTTTTGTGAACTTGTGTTTTTGCAAGGAACTCTGGTGGTGCAGCAATTAAGTGCTTCACTGCTAACAGAAAGATCAGAAGCTCAAATGCGTCAACTACTCCCCTGGAATTTCTTAATAAAGATTACACACACTCCGTCTGTTGGTCCGTCCATCCAAACATGTGACGGTCTGCCTTCATAAAGCTTACACACTGTCCCTCTGTCTATCCATCCATCTGTCCATCCATCTATGCATGTGACAGTCTGCCTTCATAAAGCTTACACACTGTCCATCTATCCATCCATCCATTGCAAATAATATGCACGCATAAGAAATTAACACAAACCCAATCCCTGTTATGTTCACAAATTATTTGTGTACGAATATAGTACAGCCTTGGAAACACTCTGAGGAAGTTCTGTCCTGCCCTGTAGGTTCTCTGTGAGTTGGCGTCAACTGAAGAGCAGTGGGTTTTGCTCTCATGGTTTTGATTTTTGGTCAGGGCCTGGTGGAGAATGCACCTCACATTAAGGTGACACTTCTGTCCTATGGATTTGCAGATTGGTGAACAGGGTGTAATTTGTTCTTTGCATAGTTCCAAATTTTAGGAGAAGATGCTCTGTGATTAGAAAAATCATGCCCTGGAAAACAAATTGTTCAAGGTCTAGGGCCACCATAGACTTGGGAGTCCGTGACAGCAGCTGGCCGTGTCCATGTGAAGAAATAAACTTCGTTTCTGTAACCACCCACACCTGGAATACTTGCGTTGTCTGCGGGCAGATGCTAAGCTTCGTAAAGGGAAAACCAGTATCTCTTTGGTTCATTCTTGTTTTGTTAACTCTTGAGCCTCAATCTTAATTAATGCCTAACACTTCTCTGTAAAAATGAGCAGCCGATCCAGATAAAATAGGATTTGATGCTGGGCACTTGCTGACCTTTTATTGTTCCGGCTCTAGCCGCAGACAAGAGTATGTGATCTTAAGATGACAAAATGAGTTTACTAAGAAAGAGGACGTGCCATTAACTAGACTCAGCATGACCTGCTGTGCCCTCTGCACACAACTAAGGCCTAATGTTCTCTGTGCTCCCACCACTGTGGTCTTGTCCATTTTATGATGTAGCCAAATTCCACTGGAATGAGCCTTAAATGAGAACATTGTTCGCTTTGGAAATATGAGCAAAAATGAATCTTTTTGACATTTGTGACCTGAGTTAGGCCAGTCGGGAACAATCTAGCACCAGCACTCAGATATGGAAGACCCGAGATGGACGGGTTATCTGTGAGGCCAAGGTCGTGAAGGAGGTATAGGGGTCATGAACCTAGAAGATCCAGGCCTTTGCAGTGGGAAGCTGTTGGAGAATTGGGAGCATGCAAGCATCACAATGAGATGGAAGGTTTTAAGGGATTACTTCCTGTGGAGATGCCAAATGGAGGGGCTTTGAGCACCTGGGCTGAAGCTGGGGAGACCAGACTTGGAAGAAGTTGAGAAGAGAGGTGGGAGGGGGTGAGGGTCAGTGTCCGGTTTGTGCATGTGAGGGCTCTTGGTTGCTTGTGCCCTTGGACGTAGTGGATTCTGGGAGAGGACTGGGCTTGTAGGCAGCGTGGGAAGATCATGGCTTTGTCTTTGGACATTTTTTTTTAGTTTGAGATGAGAATGCACTGAAACATTCAAATCTTTGAGGAAGAAAAGGGAAGTTGACAGAAACAAACTAAAAAATCAAAGCTCCAGGGGAGCTCTGGTGGCCTAGTGGCAAGACGCTGCACTGCAATCCCAGAGGTACACGGTTCGAATCCACCAGATGCTCTGCCGGAGAAGGAGGAGCGATATCCTCCTGTACCAGTCAGATATGATTTGATGGTACAGACACACAAAAAAATTTTAACAAAAAATCAAAGCTCCATTTATGGAGAGTTCTTGAAGATGGTTTATTTTAAATTAATATAAGGAAATCATAACTTTTCTCTATCTAAACAATTGTGAAAGGAAAGACCGTGTTCATAATAGTAAAAACAAAACAATTAGGAGGAGACTTGATGCAAATGCATAGAACTTTGAGGGAAACACTTTAAAACTCCTTAAGGGCATTAAAGAAGAACTTAATGAGGAAGTAACCCGTCCTCAAGAATAGAATATTTACTATTGTAAATAAATGGATCATCAAACATATTTATAAGTCATGTTTATGAGGTTATCCAAAGTGGTTGAATGGGAAAATTATTCCAATAGGAAAAAAGAAGTGAAATAAGCCAGAAAAATGCTGACCAGCAAGTAAAATGAGGTTCAGATCCATGTGTTTTATTTTTACACATTTCCTTTAAAATAAAACAAAAACCTTTTGTATTTGGAAGAATAAGAAAATACTAGTAGGAACTCTAATAAGTTGATGATATGGAAAAAATGAGTAAGGTAGATTTATTTATGGGAATCCTATTATAAATGGCAGGTGCAGTGGTTAAGCACTGGGTGCTGAAAGACGGCGGTGATTGAACCACCCACCACTCAACCGGGGGAAGGAAGACTGGCCGGCTGCTCCCACGAGGACGGCAGCCTGGAAACCCTCTGTATCGGGCTGCTGTGCTTGGGAGCACCTCAGTGGCATACAACAATACCGGCAGATTTAGGTGTTCGTTTTATTGAAAAAGAGAGGAAGGCTGTGACGATTTCACTGAGGAAGAAACATTGACAGAAATCAAAAGGATTTTCAGGAGCACCGTGAACTAGCACCCACCAGCATATTGATAACCCGGCTGAAATGGGCAAAGTTCTAAAAGGACCAACGCGGGTGCAGAAGGAATAGAAAGTCTGTCAGGACCTAAAATAAGTCGAGATTAGTCGTTTAAACACCTTGCAAAGAGAAGCTCAAGACCTTGCCTTCCCTGCAGATATTTGTAGAACTTACATAGATTCTAACAAAAACCAAATCAACACAAAGTAGAACAGAGGCAAACACTCCCCAGTTTACTCTTAGACTCTCAAACTCGCTGCCACTGGGATGATTGTGACACGTGGGATCCTCCGTGAGGGCCCGTGGGGATCTCCTGTCAGGTCCTGAAGCTGCAGGTGTGACTCGTGGGGATTGTGTGTCAGGTCCAGAGGCTGCAGATGTGACTCGTGGGGATTGTGTGTCAGGTCCAGAGGCTGCAGATCTTTACGGAGGAGACGGCCCATCTCCCCTGCACCCCTGCCCCAGCCAAGAATGAGCTTGTCAGGTTTTGAAAAGCAAACCAAAAAACCACAATCACAGAAATATAACCAGAACAATCTCATTTACAGCAGTATCAAAAAGAACAAAATACTTGGGAAATGAATTTAACAAATAAGCACAAAACTTATGCTCTGAAAACTAGAAAACATTGTTGAAAAAGAATAGAGAAACTCTGAAGGAAATGATTCATGGATGAGAATAGTTTAACACTGATGACAATTCTCCTTAAATTGATCTACAGATTTAATGTAAACGCTGTCATTTGTTCCTAATAAAATCCTATGTGCATAATACAACATCCTCAGAAACTAGCAAAAGAGGAAAGCAACTTAATATATTCTCCCTTGAGTACATTTCATTGTGTAGCAAGCAGTTCTGCTGACAGAATTCCCACCAGTAATTGATACCAGCCCATTAGTAAAGTAACTATAATAGTCGTCTGTGTTTAGTCTTTCTCCAAGCCCACACCACCAGGTTCCTGGTGTGCATCTTGGCGCACGTTTTTCATGATTCTCCTGATGGTGGCCCCCCCTGTCTTCCACCACTGTCCGCTTTCTATGCTTTGACAGACCAGAGTGACTCTCTTCATACGGTTGTCTCGCTTCTCATCAGAAATGTGCAGTGCCTGTTGTCGTAGCTGCTGGCAGGAGCTCCAAGGGTCAACGCTGCAGGTGTTCACTTGAGTTTGTTTTGAGTGGACTCCTCAGCAGTGCAGGATGCTAAATCCATTGCCATGTGTTAGAGGAGGAGTCTTCGGTGAATCGAGAACATTTGCTAGAGTTGTTCCCCAGCGTGAGGAGAGTGCACCTTCTATTCTGTGTCAGTAAGCCCCCCCGTGGCCACCGGTTGCTCCGCCGGAGAAGGATGGGCAATCTCCTTTCATGCAGTTTACTGCCTCTGAAAACCTGCTGGTGGGTCACCTATGGGTCGGTTCCGACTCTGCAGTGCACAACAACAGCTGCCTTGTCATGTTTTTGTTTAACATGGTACTACATTTGAAAGACAAATTATCAGCAACGATAATTTTATTTTATTTTATTTATTTATTTATTTATTTATTTTATTTTTTTATTATTTTGTGTGCGTGTACCGTCAAATCAGATCTGACTGGTACAGGAGGATATTGCGCCTCCTTCTCCGGCAGAGCATCTGGTGGATTCGAACCGTGTTCCTCTGGGATTGCAGTGCAGCTTCTTGCCACTAGGCCACCAGAGCTCCCCTAGCAACGATAATTTTAGAGTCTCCCCCATTGCAGATATGGACTAGCTGTGGTAAAAATGCCATCCTTGAATGCTAACCCTCGTATTGTTTGTTTCTTTCCAGTTTTATGTGCCAAGAATCTTGCAAAGAAAGACTTCTTCAGTAAGTAAACATCTTTTGTAAAACTTTTTGCTGTTTTCCAATATTCATATTCTGGACATCGTTCTGAAAGTTTAAACATTTTAAGGAACACGGGGTGTGTCCTTACTGATGAAAAAGCCCTGGTATGACGGATGTCATTTCCCAGCTGACTGCAGCAGCGCAGTTCCTGAGCTCAGAGGCTCAGATCTACACGTCAGCAGAGAAGAATTATTCCCTGATCCCCCAGCGCGACCCCACCCTGTTCCCTGCCCCACCATCCCTCTGTGCTTCTGGTGAAGTGTTCTTCAGCTTAAAGCCAGATACACCCTCCACCTCCCCCCACTGCACAGAGCTAGGTTTCAGGAAAAATGCTAATGAAATTTCTCAAGTTAAAGCACGTTTTAGATGCCTTGTAATTAAAGACAGTGTGAAAACAGGCAATAGATGGAGAACGCTGTGTAAAGGAGAGCATCACCCTCACGGTGGGTTCACTCCCTCATGAGAAGTGCCCACCAGTCGATTCTCCAGCCCCTTCTGCACTCCCAGATGGTGGGAGGAGCAGCACTTGCTTCTCAGGACACTGGGGCTCCGAGCCCTTATCAGGCAGCTAGGAAGCCGTGAGCACAGCCGCCATCAGTCGGCACCACGGCCTTCCACCTCCCTACCTCCATCATCTTGCAAGCCGACCTGGCCCACCTGCAGCTCTGGGGACACTCAGCCACACCAGTGCTTGGTGCTTTCTAGATGCCGTAGATAAAATAGGAGATCAGGAAGCAACACTGCTAGCTTTCCCCCTCCAGTCCCTAGAAAGTGTTGCTGTTAGCTGCCCTCAGACCCATTCACAGTGACTCTGTGCAGTGGGTCAGAACACTGCCCGGTCCTGCATGCTTGGTCACCCAGGGTGTGGACTGCTGTCCGCTGCATCAGTCCCCATGTACGATGATCCTGTGCAGTGGGTCAGAACACTGCCCAGTCCTGCACACCTGGTCACCCATGGTGTGGGCTGCTGTTAGCTGCCATGAGCAGCTGACTCATGGTGACACCTGCCCCCTCCCCTTCCCCACCACCGTGCAATGGGTCCAAATGCTGCCTGGTCCTGTACTGGTCAGTTGCCCATGGTGTGGGCTGTCCTTGGCTACCGTCAGGCCCCATGCTGCTTGATGATGAATTGAAACACTACCTGGTCTCACTCCGCCTGGCCGCCCATGGTGTGGGGCTGCTCCACACTGCCTGGTCTCACCTATACTGTGAGCTGTCCCCAGCTGCCATCATTCCCCATACACGGTGACCCCCATATGATGGATCAGAACACTGCCCGGTCCAGCCTGTGGTGGGGACTGCCAGGTTCCATCCGTCATGTGAGATGTCCTTAGCTGCCATCAGTCCCCACACATGGCCACCCCTCTATGATGGATCAAAATACTGGTCCCACCCATCATGTGAGCTGCCCTGTCCCACCCGTGGTGTGGGCTGCCTGGTCCTGCTCGTGGTGTGAGCTGCGTGGTCCCACCCTTCATGTGTGCTGTCCCATCCCACCCGTGGTGTGAGCTGCGTGGTCCCACCCTTCATGTGTGCTGTCCCATCCCACCCGTGGTGTGAGCTGCGTGGTCCCAGCCTTCATTTGTGCTGCCCCGTCCCACCCGTGATATGGGCTGCTGTGCTGCTTGGAGCTTTCGTGGCTCATTTTCAGAAGCAGAACTCGAGACCTTTCGTTGCCTGGCAGAACAGACCCAGCAGTCATATAAATAAAATATAGAACTGTTTCCTCCACTTAATTAGCTCCATTTAGAGTCCTGGTGGGGCTTTCTAAGTCAGACTGCTAACCCAAAGGTCAGCCGTTCAAATCCACCAGGTAAAGCGTAACAGCCCTGGGAGTCCCATGGAGTGAGTGGGGATCAGTCCAAAACCGGGGCTTTCTGTGATTATCAGAATTGGAAGCTTGCATTTAAGTCTGTTTTTGTAGTTTTGTCATCTTCACATACCATTTAAAAACTCCAGGGGGATGCCTGGGTCCTTTCCTAGAAAGCTAAATTTAAGTGCTCTTTCTGGTGATGAAAACTAGAGAGTCCCACGCACAGCTTCCTGGTTCCCACCAGCTCATCTCTTCACTCTCTTTACCTGAAAGATTGTGTGACATTGGCAGGGCTGTGGTCCCACCTGCTGTGACTGTCCCCTCTCTTCTAGGACTTCCCGACCCTTTTGCCAAGATTGTCGTTGACGGGTCTGGGCAGTGCCACTCCACTGACACTGTGAAAAACACGTTGGACCCAAAGTGGAACCAGCACTATGATCTGTGAGTGGAAGGTTCTGGAAGCCTTGGTGGGGGGCCAGGGAGGGGCTTTTAAGAGAAGCATTTAAGGGAAAGAAGGAGGGGAGAAAGACGCGTTTCAGTTACTGAAAGTAGATGATTAAATGAAGATATAATTGCTTGATTTCAGAATTTTTACTTGGAACTTCTTGCATTTCATTTTCATAGATTTTTTTTTCTTTTTAAGAGTTTTAAGCATTGCTCCTATAACTGTAATTGGCAACCTGTCCCCTCCCTGCTTTTAATTAAAGTGGCGGGCAGGCCTGACTTCAGGGTGCCCCTTGCGCTTGCTTTTCAGTAAAGCCCAGAATTTCCACCTCAGAAGATGTGTGATCTTGAGTATATACTTCTATTGCTGTAGACAAAGTTCCTTTGAGTATAGACATATATTCTGCAGGAGAAATCAGTTTTGCATGATTGAATATAAAGAAGCCCACACACCATCAGACAATTCTTACATTCATGATGTGATTGCTCTTTGATAACCACTTAAAAAAACCATTGCTTTATAACTGTCATGTCCCTCAACATTTTGATCATCTGATACTGATTGATTATTGTTTTGAGGTTAATACATATAGTACCAAGGACAGAGTTGTGAATTCTTGGATTCTGTAACTCAGTTTTCAGTCTACCTGAAGTGTCTGAGAAAGGGTTGTCAGTTCTTGTGCTAAAGCTCCCCTCTGTGGCCGACTTGCATAGAGGGGAAAAAGGAGAGTTTTTATAGCATATCATTTTGTGTGTTTTGGTGGATGTGTGGGCTTATAAGAAGTGTCATGGTAAATGAAAGTCTAATGGTCAGGAATTGTTGAACCACCTCACTGTTTACATATGGCGAACTTCTACCTGTGAGAGTCTCCTGTGCTTATCTGCGTGTGTTCCCTATGTAGCTGATAGGAGTCCTTCTTCCTGGCCCACTGAGGCTAAGAGACTCTTAGACGTTAGGTGCCTGCTATGTGTGTAGTACAGAGTACATTGTTTCACAAGGATGCCTCCACCAGATAACCTACTTCAGGAATCAAATAACAAATGAGTCGATGCGTTGTTTTCAGATATGTTGGGAAGACGGATTCCATAACCATCAGCGTGTGGAACCACAAGAAGATTCACAAGAAGCAAGGGGCTGGCTTCCTCGGCTGTGTGCGGCTGCTGTCCAACGCCATCAGCAGACTGAAAGACACCGGATGTAAGGCCCTGCTCTCCCACCTCTTCACACCTCCAAAGGCGGCTCTGGCGGCCCCTTTCTTGTCTGAATGCTGAATATCGAATCCCGCCTTCCTCTCTAGTTAACCTTGCCCTGGGTTAAGTTTTGAATTGTTTGTTTGCAGACCAGCGTTTGGATCTATGCAAACTAAATCCCTCAGATACTGATGCAGTCCGTGGCCAAATAGTGGGTAAGAACTTTCTCCTCTGTCTAAAGAGATGCTTGTTCAGAACCTGACGTTCAGCTCTCCATCACCTAGAAAACACGCACGGGCAGATCCTGACCATGACAATGTCCTTGGAAGGACAGGGCACACCTGACGCCATCCCCTCTTCACCATAAGTCTCACCTCTGCGGCTTTTATTATTGTATCTAATTCCCTTCATCTACCTTTTGAGTTCAGACGGCTAAGGCGGGAAGGCTTTCGTGTTGGGACTGTAACCGCCAGTTCAGTCCTCTCGTTGCTAGACATGCCCCTGTCCACTGTGTCAGCAGCTGCACATGCCACTCTTCAAAGAGTTGGGGAAGAGTTTTTATTTTCATTTTATCTTTTTTTCTGGAAGGCTCAGTCATATATGAAAAAAACAAAGAAGTCTTCTGTTTTTGATAGGTTTTTTTAGAAGTCCGCAGGCTCAGAAGATTGCATTATTTAGAGTAAAAAAATGAATGCTGTTGTTACCAAGTGTTGTCCAGAGGCCTTCCGCTGGAAGTGAGGTAGCTGTGACACAGCTCTTGTAGTCAGGCTCCACCTTGTCTCTATCAGCATGTTAGAGTAAGACCAGTGTCAAACACATGCACAGCACGGACCCTCTGCCCACAGGGCTTGGTGGCACTGACATACTTAGATGCCACCTGAGGACGGTGAACGGCAGTGCCCATCCTGAATACCCTCCGAATGGTTTTCTTCTCACCTGATGCTTCCTTGTCTCTGAATCCTCCTTTCCTCTGTCGAGGAGGGACATGCCAGGGGAACGGAACTGGGATGGGAAAGGACTGGCTGAGTGTCTGCTGCTCAGGCAGGGCTGTAGGGTGTTTGCTGAGCGGTGTAGACGTGCAGATGCTAGCCGTGCTCACTGTGTACCCACCAACCACAGGTCTTTCTAGAGGAGGCTCCGGGGGAACAGACGAGGGGCTTCTGTGGTAGTGGGCAGTGCAGGAGACACAGAGCCTCTCCTGCTCCTTGCTCACCACCAGGGTCCCAAGTGCTTTGCCAGAGAACAGTGTCAGGAGAGAGGAGAGTACGTACGTGCGTGCGAGTGTGTGCGCGCGCGCGCCTGATTGCTTTTACTACCACACTGAGCACAAACTATACATCTGCAGCGGCTCACTGTATCTACACACGGTGGTAGAAAGCCCGAGTGGGTTGTAATTCAAAGCCATCTCTTCCAATTTAGTCAGTTTACAGACACGAGACCGAATCGGCACGGGCGGCTCAGTGGTGGACTGCAGAGGACTGCTAGAAAATGAAGGGTATGTATAACTGCAGGGTGGTGTGGGGCGGGCGCCCCCCATCCCCCAGACCCTCTCTGCTCTACAGAGTGAGCTCTGAAGCCGCTTGGGCTTTGCCAGATCACCTCAGGATGCAGCCTGAAGCGATGGGACTGTTTGAGCATCATTAAGAATCGTAACTGCAGTGGATTGAAGTGCATCACATATCTGAGTTCAGGATAACACCCTTTGTTACTATTTACTATAGAGTTGGGACCATCCTAAAGTTAACCCTCCAGCAGGTTGTCAGAGGCAGTAAAGCGCACAGGAAGAGACAGACCTCTTTCTCTCACGGGGCATCTGGTGGATTTGAACTGTGAACCTTTGCATTGGTAGCACACTCCCTTATCATTAAGCCACCAGAGCTCCCTAGAATAACACCTAGCAGGGACAAAACAAAAACACTTAAAAAACCCCACTGGAAACCAGTCCTCGGGTACTTCGAGAAGATACTAGTCAGCTTACTATTCTGGAAACTTACAAAAAAACAAAAAGCAGGAAGCATTTAACATGCCTTTCAGGAAATTATTCTTTAAATCTTCCTGCTAATAAGTGAAGATTGAGCGATAAAATCAGGATATCACAAATCTGATGCTCCTAACAGATGCAGGCAAAAACCATTGGTAGTTGCTAACATCACCGAAGAGACGCCAATGTCTATGCACTGTGCTTTATGCAGATAACACGCACCGTGTTGATGGTACCAGCTGCTCCTTCCGCATTGAGCACTGTTGGGTACTTGGTGGGATTGGAGAATGAACAGGGTTTCCCCCATGTGTGGTAATAAAAAATGTCTTATGTTTGAAAGATCTGTTCTAAAATATTTTCAGGATGAAGGGTTCAAGGGTTGGGGTTGATTTAGACGGAATCCAGTGGTGGGAGGAGCTGGCAGAGAGGCCGGCACTGCTGACCCTTGAGGTTGGTGATGGGAGCTGGGAGTCCTGTGTCCTGCTTTCTCAGGGGTACATGTCCTCAAGATTGTTCAGTAGAACGTTCTGTAAACTCCTTACTAACAAGGGAAAATCACCACTTGTTTTCCATATTGTTCAGAGGGGTATTAAAAAGGACTTAGAGGTATTTCTGTGTTCTCTGTAATGAGAACTTTGGCTGGAAGTTAAGGACAATAAGGTAGATTTTATTGTAAATCATGAAACAATGAAGTCTTACTTCATGAGGTCATTACTGGGCAGGGTTGGCATTTGTCGTCCTTCACTCCCCACGAGGACGCACCCCCACCGAGGCCACGAAATCCTTGAGTTTACACGTTAATACGGAGCAGGATGAATGTTGTGGCACCGCGGGCGCATCTCGGGCTCTTCCTGGAGGGAAGCGTGGACATGCTGACTCTCCAGGCTGAATCCCCTCCATGCTGTTCTCTCCTTCTAGAACTGTCTATGAAGACTCCGGGCCTGGGCGGCCGCTCAGCTGCTTCATGGAGGAGCCGGCCCCGTACACGGACAGCACCGGGGCGGCCGCCGGGGGAGGCAACTGCAGGTTTGCCGAGTCCCCGAGTCATGACCAGAGGCTTCAGGTGCAGCGGCTTCGGAACCCCGAGGTCCGGGGCTCCCTGCAGACACCACAGAACCGTCCTCATGGCCACCAGTCACCAGAGTTGCCCGAAGGCTACGGTGAGGGGGACAGAGCCTGGGGACTTGGGGGACAGTGCGGCCTTGGCCACTTCTCTAGGAACCTGCTCATGCCATGTGGTGGTGGGTGGAGTGGTGGCAGATTTTACGGATCTGTTGTGCCAGTCTCCTGGTTAAGAGATTGTGGGGAAATCTGAGGTAAATTAACACCTGAGGGAACCTGACCTAGATGAGGTGTTTGTGGTACTCAGATATTTTAACAGCCCTGTGGTTAAAGCACTCAGATGCTACCCAAAAGGTTGATGGTTTGAACCCAGCAGCCACTCCAAAAAAGAAAGATGAGGCAATCTGCTTCCTGGAAGGGTATCCCCTTGGAAAGTTTTGGGGCCGTTCAGGTGTGCTCTGGGACTGCTGTAGGTTAGAATGCACTCACTGGACTTTAGGTTTGGGAGGTTTGTTTACAAAGGACAGTGAAGTGGTTGTTTGAAATGAAGAGGGACTCTAACTTAGGAGTGGCAGACAATTCCAGAAATGATAACATGTGACCATATACCCAAACTTGCCCCGGGTGAGGCCGACCTGACTCTTCGTGGCCCAGCCGCCCAGTCCAGCCCCACCCATGGCTTTCCGAGGCTGCCGCCTGCGCTGGAGCAGACCGCCTGGTCTTTCTCTGTGAAGTGCCTGGTGGATCTGAACCACCAACCTCCAGGGTCACGCCTGAGTGTTTTAACCACTCCGTCACCAGGACTCCTTTCCTCTGATGAAGACAAGTCAAAGTGAGGTTGGCATGGTGGGGTGTGGGCACACCAGAGTGCCTGCCCAGAGATGTGGCTGCCAGGGAGGTGGAGGGGTGGGAACAGTGTGCAGGGCCCCCACAGTCCATCCAGGGGGCTCTTGTCACAGCTTTTCAGGGACCCAGCAGGAAGCTTAGCCTCCCTGTAGAGCCAGCGAACCATCAGGTGGCTTCAAAACTTAGTCTCAAATTGAACTGTTCAGGAGTTGCAGAGACATGCGTTTTCACAGAAAACAGGATGTCATTTTTTTATACTCTAGGTCACTCATGGTTGCTGTGATGCTAAACATTGTGACGCTGAGGTGTCAAATGTGATAGTGATTACCCATGGTGGACAGTGCTTGGTGGAGCTCCTCAGTTAAAACAAGCTTGGCAGCAGGAGTGGTATCCGCTTCTGAAATAGCTTGCCTCCAGAAACCCTATGAACTTGGAGAAAGGATGAAAGTTATACAGTGTTCAGGTCTTTCATTCATAGGGTTGCTATAAGTTGCCTATGACATGACAGCACTTAACAACAACATCACTTAAGACAACTGTATTTCATTTGCTGTAATCAGTTTTTAAAAGTCAGATGGAAAAAGCAACTGAAGGCCTAGAAAATAGAACTGTCATTTTCAATTCTCCACTAAAGCTGGAGGAGGAAGGGGAAATGAACTAACCGTGCCCCTCACTCTCTGCAGAGCAAAGAACCACCGTGCAGGGGCAGGTTTACTTTCTGCACACTCAGACAGGGGTGAGCACCTGGCACGACCCCAGGATCCCCAGGTACGTGTTCTAGATTGTTCATCCTGATTTCTCCCTGGGCCTGCCGGGTCTGTGCGCGAAGTTCGAGCAGGGCACCTCTGAGGAGTGGTGCAGGACCTGGGCTCCTGTCACTGGGTACCCCCATTCAGACACTGTCCCGCCTGTCCCTGATGTGGCCACTCACATCCCCAAATGCAGCTCTGCCGCCCCCTCCAGGTTCAGCCCGGTCACAGCAGCAGCTGCTGAAACAAAGGGGTCAGCTCTGTCCTGAAATCCGATCCTATGACCTAGGAGACCCTCCTGACTCTGGGGCACATCGAACTCAGTACGCTTATAGTGCAAGATCTGATAGTCTTCTGACAGCATTTTTGATGCTGGTACTAATTTTGTGCCTTTTAGAGACACTTATCCCCCGGCACACCGTGGTTCCTGTCGTGGTTAGACATTTCTGTGTGTCTGTCACAGTCGGCTCTTGCTGGCTGCAGAACGGCATGGCCCCAGCAGAAACTGCCCCATCTTGACATAGATGCTGTGATGAGGGGTCTCTGGTGTGTTCTTCAGCGCATCTCACCCCTCTGTCTTCTGTTTGGCAGAGACCTGAACAGTGTGAACTGTGATGAGCTTGGGCCACTGCCGCCTGGCTGGGAAGTCAGGAGCACTGTTTCTGGAAGGATCTATTTCGTAGATCACAATAACCGGACCACCCAGTTCACAGACCCGAGGCTGCACCACATCATGAAGTAAGGAGTTTGTAGACACTGCGCCGATCTCTGACCCCATCATTTAAAGCGCACGACTAACGTTTTTCTTTATGTGCAGTGGTGTCTGTTAGTGGGGAAGAAGCTTAAGGAAAATGTGATAGACTCTGAAGTCCCCGCGCTCTGTGCCCACGCTGCCCCCGGCTGCCCCCTTCCCTGGTGGGCTCCGTGGTGCTGCAGTGTAGGCAGCGTCCTGACAGGGCCTCTGCACGTGGTGCCGTGACACACAGCCCTTGGTGTGCTCCTTCTGGCCCCCAGGTGCAGGCCACAGGCACTCGGGACTTGCCAGAACCCCCTCTAACGGCCACCATTCCTGGGTGCTTTGACCCCATATGGCACAGAGCTCGTCCACAGACAGCTGAGGCATCTGGCAGTATGAACAGATCGGACCACGTGGTCCCAAGACCAGGCTTGTCCTTTCGTTCTCCCAGAACCATCCCGCTAGAGACGTGTGTGCCACTGAGCCACATAGCGTGAAGTAGACGCGTGAGAAACGGTCGTTCTTAGGTGCTGTTGAGCCAAGTATGAACAGATCTGAGCCTTGTCCTGTCCTGTGCCCCCTGGTCATTCTGACACACTCGCTTCACTTTATTGCATCCCACAAGTACTGTGTTTTTGCAGCCTGACGGTTTGTGGTAACTGTGTCAAGCGATTCTATCAGTGCCGTTCTCCAAGCAGTCTGAGCTCATTTTGTGTCCGTTTCATGTTTCAGTCATTCTCACGTACTTCACATTGCTTGCCGAGCCCGCTGCCCAGGCTGGAATCCCAGCTCCTGGCTCTCCTCCACCAGGTCTCCGAGGCAGAAACCTCTGTGGGGGAGACTGCCCATTTCCCCCCAGGGTGGGCCTGTGGAGTTGAGCCTCTGGCATCTTGACAGCAGCCCAGCATGTGACATGGTGCACCACGAGTGTTCTTCAGCATTAAGATAAAAACCCAGACCTGCTGCTGTGGTCCTGACTCGGAGCCACGCCCTCTCAGGTCTCCATGGCTAGTGCATTTGAACTGCTGACCTTTTGGTAGCAGCCCAGCATGTTATGCACAATGCCAGCGGGGCGCCTTGAGGAAGCCACGGCCTAGTGTGAGGGTAACCGAGGCTCCGAGAACCTCGTGTGACTGGCGTGAGAGCAGTCTCCATTCTCGAAGTGAACCCCCAGCACTTCGGAGGTTTGCTTGTGGGGCCGCTCAGAGTGCCGGTCTCCTCTCTTGGCTCTGTCCGTACATCCAGGGCTGTCGGGGTCCCCAGTGATCTCTGCTAGCCATGGACACAGGTGGGCACTCAGAGGAGACTCCCTAATGTTCTTCTCACTCAAGCCTGCCCCTTGGCAGTGAGGGGTGGCCTCATGTCCCCAGCCGTTGCGGAGTGACTTGAGTGTGTGTCTGTCTCTCCAGTCACCAGTGCCAACTTAAGGAGCCCAGCCAGCCGCTGCCGCTGCCCAGTGAGGGCTCCGTGGAGGACGAGGAGCTGCCCGCCCAGAGGTACGAGCGGGACCTCGTCCAGAAGCTCAAAGTCCTCAGACATGAACTCTCACTGCAGCAGCCCCAGGCTGGCCACTGTCGCATCGAAGTCTCTCGAGAAGAAATATTTGAGGTACGGACTGAGGGCCTCACTATCAGGCGGGGGCTCTTGCTCCTGCGTCTGTGGCCCCGAGGGGGGGAGGGGGGAGGGATCAGGCCCCCAGTGGCTCTGGTCATCCTTCCCACACTGCTCTGGAGCTGGGTTTGCGTTTAGTTCGGTGTTCTCCACCCATGTGGTATCTCAGGTCATGTTATTAGCATTTTTTAATACAATTTTTATTTTATACTGGTTTACTTAGGAAGTTCGTATTATACATTGCTTTTCACACCAGATATTTCCCATTTCCTTTACCCACCCCTCCCTCCATCAAATTGTGTGACCCTATGATTAACACCCCACCCCCACTCCACCCCTCAATCCTCCCCCTCCCCCCACCCACCTTGGATCCTCATACATGTTCTACAATAATGGTCTTATGCAGTGTTTGTTCTTACGGAATTGAGTTCACTCAGCATAATGCTCTCCAGTCCCGCCCAAGTTAGATAGTAATTTACAAAATCATTGTTCCTGCGTGCTGTGTAGTATTCCATCATGTGAATGTACCATAATTTCTCAATCCATTCGCTTGTAGTGGGACATTTGAGCTGTTTCCATGTTCTTGTGGCGGTGAATAATGCTGCTATGAACATTGGTGTACAAGTCTCCATTTGTGCTTCAGTTCTCATTTTCTTGGGATATATTCCAAGCCGTGGAATAGCTGGGTATACGGAATTTCTCTGTTCAGCTTTTTGAGGAAGTGCCAAATTGCCTTCCAGGGTGGTTGTACCATTTTACAACCCCATCAACAGTGTATAAGAGTTCCTATCTCAACACATCCTCTCCACCATTTATTACTTGCTGTTCTGTTAAACTTTGTCACTGCTACTGGAGTGAGATGGTATCTCATTGTGGTTTTGACAAGGATTCTGAGGCTCCGTCTAACATACTTTGGACATGTTGTGAGGAGAGACCGGTCCTTAGAGAGGGACATCATGTTTGGGAGGGTGGAGGGACAGCGCAGGAGAGGAAGGCCCTCTCTGAGGTGGATTGATTCAGTGACTGGGATAATTGGGATGGGAGTGTCAGAGACAGTGCGATTGGCACAGGACAGAGCGGAGTTTAGGGCTGTTGTACATAGGGTCGCTATGAGTCGCAGGCGACTCGACGGCACATAACGACAACATTGCCAGTAATTTGGAGTATTTCTTCATGTGTCTTTTGGCCATCGAAATGACTTCCTCTGTGGACAGTCTTTCCATGATTTTTGCCCATTCTATAATTGGATTATCAGTCTTTTTCTTGTGGAGGCCCTGTAGAACTCTATAAACTTTTGATATGAGACCCTTGTCTGAAATGGCATTGCCAGATATTTGTCCCCAGTCAGTAGGTTTTCTTTTCATTCTGTTGGGAAAAGGTTTTGATGTGCACAGGGATCTAATCTTTAGAAGGTCTCATTCATCAATTTTATCCTCTCCAGATGATGCATTTCTGGTTGTATTTTGCAGTCTGTTTTTACCATAGACTAGGCCGTCTAAGCTTACTCCTGGTTCGCCTCTTATGAACTTATGGTTTTGGGCTTTACTCCCAGGTCTCTGGTCTACCTTGAGTTGATTTTGTGTAAGGTGAGAGCTGTGGACCCTGTTTTAGATTTCTGCAGGTGCCGTTGAGTCGCCTGTGACATACAGCCCCCATGAGCCTTAGGGCCTGAACTGGGATCAGCTGAGAGCAGGAGATTCCCAGGGCTTCTCGGTGGAGCCACTTATCAGCATTCCAATCACCTGCCCAGTGAGGGTGGGCTTGCACTTGGCCACCTGTCTATGCTTTGGCTCAGCTGCTGTATCTCTGACTTTCCTCCCCCTTTTGCTTCTCTGCTGTAATGGGAAGCATGTGTGGATTTTCACCTTGGACAGATGGAAACAAGGTTGTGCTTTATCCAAACCCGCTGCCGTTGGTTCGATCATAGCGACCCCGTGGGAAGAGCAGAACCGCCCCAGTGTTCTAGGGTTCAGTACAGGGCACTTCTTCCTTTTCCCTGGGAGGGACTGTGGGTTCCCACTGCTGCCCCGTCCGTTAGCAGCCCCGAGGGCTTCACTATGGTGCACCCGAGTTAACTTTCTCCAGAAAGCCAGCTGCGTGAGGACACTGTCCGTAGACCCGAGTGACTGTGCTTAGCATCCTTCCTGCTGTCTGGTACCTCGGGTTTCTGGGGGAGAAGCCGTAGGAGAAAGGTTGGTGGGCAGCGCTGTGCCCAGTGCTGTGAGGCCGTGTTCTGAATGGTGGTGTGAGGTGACCCGTGTGCCGCAGAGCAGAGCCTTGGCCGGTCCTCACGGTCGGGGCTATGCCTGAGCCCTTGGCTGCAGCCCCCGGACAGGCTACTTCCCTGAGTGTCTTCTACCCCTTCTCTGACATCTGCTTTTCCAGCATGATGTCCTGCAGGGACAGGTCCCTCCTGACGACAGGTCACAGCAGGTGAGCCACATCTCACCGTCCTCCTTTCTGAGCGGTGTGGACTCTTCCGTTACAGGAACCAGAGGAAACTCTGGCTCCAGATGATGCCTGCTTTAAGTGAGCTCTGTTGTCCGTCTCATGTTAGAGTTTTGAGAGCACGTTCTTCTCCCTGAAGCTGCAATCTCTCCATAGGAGTCTTACCGCCAGATCATGAAGATGCGTCCCAAGGACCTGAAGAAGCGGCTGATGGTGAAGTTCCGTGGGGAGGAGGGTCTGGACTACGGCGGGGTGGCCAGGTGAGAGCTGCCACCGCCGTCCTGCTGTGTAGGCTCAGAACCTGAGGGGCTGGTCCGGAAAAGGTGTCCCCTTCCACACCCGGGAACGGCTGGGCCGCACTAATGTGCTGTCCAGAGCTTCTGTGTTCGTTACTGGGAGCTTCGGTGGGCAACACTGAGAGCAGGCACAGCCTGGAGTGGGCACTGCCCAGACAGGGTGACCCTTAGTGTGGGCACTTCCCAGAGAGGACATTCCTCAGAGCAGGCTGCTGCCCAAAGCAGACATTTCTCAGAGCGGGCACTGCCCAGAGAGGACACTCCTCAGTGTGGCACTGCCCACATTGGACACTCTTAAGAGCGGGCACGGTACAGACTTTGGACACTCCTGAGAACGAACACTGCCCAGAGAGGGCCCTTCTCAGAGTGGGCACTGCCCAGAGTGGACATCCTGAGAGTGGGCACTGTCCAGAGTGGACACTCCTGAGAGCGGGCATTGCATGGAGAAGGCCTTTCCCAGGGCGGGCGTTTCTGAGAATGGCCTGGCTGGAATGTCACTGGGACCAGTCAGGGTGAGGTCTTCACAAGAACACGCGGCTGAAACACATCTTATGAAACCTCTGAACTTGGCACCTTCTTCACGGAGCATGTTTGCACCGCCGGAGCCGTGAAGGCCCGCTCACGACGTTGACCTGGGTCTGGTACTGTTAGGAGAGGGATGTTTCTGTCTGAGGGGTTTTTCAACATACGCGATGATTCATGCACCCTCCAGACAATTTTGCTGTGTTAATGTTTTCTACTGATGAACTTCTGAAGTCCAGACTGATTTCAGCTCCCAGCGACCCGGCAGGACCAAGCTGCTCGGGGGTCTCCCAGGCTGTAATCTGACCCCTGAGCTTCAGCCCACCACGCATTTGGTTGGCAGCTGAGTGCTTCGACCACTGTTCTACCAGGACACTCCTTTTTCTTCGAGTAGGTGTCCTCCTGGGTCACTAAATTGATCACGCTCGGGTGTCACCTCTTGGTTCCACAGCGTAGGGTCCCCGCAGACAGACTGCGTGTGGTCTGCAGGGTTTCACACGCCCCTTCCCCGTTTGGTGATCGCAGTCTTTTTGTCTGTTTCCTCTTGTTTCCTGTGTAACTGTAGGTGATGTAACCTCTATTTCTCTTTGTTCCCCTGCCCCCTCCTTCTGGGGAGCTTTCCTTGGCTTGCCCTCTTCTCCGCCATCACTGTGTCATACAACACAAAACGGAAAAACTGCGGGGAACTAATTGATCTGTGGCATGGTTGAGTTTTCTTAGAATATGCCTATATTGTGTGTGCCCTTCCAAGAATTAGACTTCTTCAACAACTGTACCATGCTCACGTCTCCTCTGCCCATCCTCCTGGCAGAGGGTCCTGGCTTCAGGCCGTGATGGTAGAGTTACTTAGTGAACGTGCCCAGGAGCCCGGGAGGTGCTGCAGACAAGGCCCGGCTCTGAGACAGCGGCCCTGCTGGGAAAGCGGGAAGGAGGCCTCTCACCCCCATGGTCTATGAACACGTGTGCACCAGCCCAGCGCCTGGGTCATGACGAAGCGTGGACGCTTCATTCAGTTCTGCTTGGAGCTGGGGTCTCTTCAGCGGCTGAGAGAACAGAATTAAAAAGAGCACATTTCAAGGTGTGCCCTTTGACCCAGGACAGAATCACTGAACTGCCCATCATCTACGTGTCCATCTGGGAGAAGGGGTGCAGAGCCGAGCTTCCTAATGGGAGCCCAAGCCGTTGGAAATGAGAGGCATTTGTCCCAAGAGTGCCCCAAGTTTCTTCCTCGATCTGGAATCTAGAATCCATCTCTGTAAGATGTGGCTGCTGTGTGTTCCCAATGCACCCACACCCCATTTCCAAGAGGTTTGCTCTGCCAGGGGTCCCAGGTGGGAATCCTCTTCCTTCCGCGTTCCCGGCTGTCCTGACCGTTCACCTTGCACTGTGGCACTTTCTCTTTCCTGCTGCTGCTTTCATAGACGCGAAATGGCTCAGGAGTGCAGAACTTCAGACCGTTCCAAGTGACGTTCCCTTCCGTGCGAAGGGATTAAAGCTGTTAAGGTGGAGATGCAGCTGTTACAATGGAAGCCTGAAAGTGCACGTCTGAAATGCTCTTCTTGTGCTTGTCCCAGGGAGTGGCTCTACTTACTGTGCCATGAAATGCTGAATCCTTACTACGGACTCTTCCAGTACTCCACCGACAACATTTACATGCTGCAGATCAATCCAGACTCTTCCATCAACCCGGTGAGTCCTCTGTGCCGATGAGATGGGCTGGCGGGAGCTGTTTGTAGCTGGGCTCTCAGGCTCCGTTGTCGGTGTGGACGTGTGCAGAGATTGGGGATGGGAAGCGAGTGTTGGGGTGGACGGTGACACACGGACCTCTGGGACAGTTCACGTGGTGCCTTCGGTGAGAATGAGAGTGACTCTGAGCTGTGCTCTGTGGCCATCGAGGGAAATTAGGTGTTTCCTGAGGAGCGTTAAGGGAAGGGCCGCATGAGCATTCGGTCGTGGAAGCATCTCCTCAGCTGGAAACGGAAGTTTTGGCCCGGCCTCTGAACGAGGCTTGTGCCGGTTTATATGTGGAGCTGATTTCCCAGCAGCGCTGGTGTCAGAGTGGTTCCTGGGCCTGAGTGTGCCTGTTCCTCTTTGGAGAGCTTGGCTCTCTCGTCCCTGTGCAGTGGGACTGGGGCCGAGGGCCACCCTCGCTCGACCCCTCCCGAGTGCCATAAGCAGGCGACCCTGCTCTCCTAGGCCAGTGCCCAGGGCCTGGCGTCACTGCTGTACTGACCTCGTAGTTTCATTTTAATACCACCTTTTCCTTTACAATATTGTGAGCATCATTTACGTTCCTGTGGCACATGTTTAACAATTAGGGCACGAACAGTTAATAACTGAGATAATTTATCTCTTCACTGAGATTTTCAAAGGGGACCTGCATTGTTAATGGCACTGGGACCCGTAAATTATATAGTGATTCAAGGAGAAGGTGTTTAAACTAAGTGTGTGCACAAGGCCTGCTCTATATTCTGACCACCGATGCCAGGAATGGCCAATGGGCGACGTCCAGTGGGGGACATCCTGCCTCGCCCATGTCCTGATGCCTGTGCCCTCTGATGACAAGAAAGGCCAGCGGGTGACGTCCAGTGGGGGACGCGCTGCCTCGGCCATGTCCTGATGCCTGCGCTCTCTGGTGACAAGAACGGCCAGTGGGTGACGTCCATTGGGGGACGTCCTGCCTCGGCCGTGTCCTGATGCCTGCTCTCTGATGACAAGAACGGCCAGTGGGTGACGTCCAGTGGGGGACGCGCTGCCTCGGCCGTGTCCTGATGCCTGTGCTGTCTGGTGCCCCTGCAGGACCATCTGTCTTACTTCCACTTCGTGGGCCGGATCATGGGGCTGGCTGTGTTCCATGGGCACTATATCAATGGGGGCTTCACGGTGCCCTTCTACAAGCAGCTCCTGGGGAAGCCCATCCAGCTGTCGGACCTGGAGTCGGTGGACCCGGAGCTACACAAGAGTCTGGTGTGGATTCTGTAAGTACTGTGCCCTCACCCATTGGCGGATTCACTCACCCTCCTCTGTGTGTGGGGAGGGGGCACAGGTGCATGCCCACTTCAGGGGTGGGTGCAATCAGAGAAGAGAAATGAAGAAACCAGTGTTATCTCCCTGAGGCTGGTGGGTGCTCTTGGACACAGTTCGGGGGGTCCGGGTGTTAGGAGAGTGTGTGCTCTCCGCTGACATACAAACAACACTTGGTGGTGCTGGTGCAGCACTGCCCTGCTGGCCGCTGTGGATAAGCAGATGTCCACACTGTCCAACCGAGGAGAAGCAGACAAGGGCAGGGCTGGGCTCTCGGCTGCCGCCTGACGGGCACATGCAGACACAGCAGTGGGGCCTTCTTCCCCCGGGACGCCCTCCTGTGTCCAGTCCACATTGCAGTCAGACAGCCAGACACTCAGGCTTTTCTGTCCAAGTGGATGCATTTGAAGAGGCCGCCACAGAGGCGGGCATTCAGGGAGGTGGCCTGCCTTCTGTGGCTTCTCCTAGGCAACGCCTCTCTGCTCAGACTCGGTCACATAGTGGTGAGGTTGAGGGCAGAGCCACTGTCCCCTTTCAGATGACTGCACTGTGGTGTCTGGCTCTGCCCCTCACTGCGCTGGGTCCACCGTCGCTAACTCTCTCTCTCTGCTGGACCTTTCCCTGCCGCGGCCTCGGGTGCCGAGAGGTGTCTGATGATGCTAACGATGTCCGCTTGCATCCCGCATGAACAGGGAGAACGACATCACCCCCGTGCTGGACCACACCTTCTGCGTGGAGCACAACGCCTTTGGGCGGATCCTGCAGCACGAGCTGAAGCCCAACGGCAGGAATGTCCCTGTCACCGAGGAGAACAAGAAGGAATACGTCCGGTAGCGTCAGAGGGGACGCTGGGAGGGCTGGGGTTTGGGCTGGCGGCGTCACCCGTGTCCAACGCACTGCCTGCTTAGCTGAGAAAGCAGGAGGCCGGGGCGAGGCCTGCCTGTCCCCAGCGGCACTTGTGCTAGAACTCGTTGGCAGGAGACTTGGGATGGAGGTGCCATGCTGAGGGGTGGGGCCTGGTGACCCCACAGGTGCAGAAGTGGGTGTCTGCGTGATTGCCTGGTGTGAAGGTGGAATGTCCCTTGTCGCTGTGGCGGGGTGACTGTGGTCTGCAATTGGAGGTGCGGGGTCGTGCTGGGGTAGGGTCATGACTGACCTCGGGTGGGACCTGCTTGTGTTCTCACAGATTGTATGTCAACTGGAGGTTCATGCGGGGAATTGAGGCGCAGTTCCTGGCCCTCCAGAAGGGCTTCAACGAGCTCATCCCCCAGCACTTACTGAAGCCCTTTGACCAGAAGGAGCTGGAGGTGGGTGGATGGGCACCGAGGGGGCAGCTGCGGATGGGGGTCGTTATTTGACATTCGTCCTGGTTTTAGAGGATCTGGTCTGGGGCCCAGTGCCGACCAGGACTCTGCTGTCAGAGTGTGTGGGGCCCGGTGCTGGCTTCCTCCTTCCTGGTCCACAAGGGGCTCTGTGGGGCAGCCAAGACTGGCTGACCGACTGAGGGGCGTCATCTACCTCCGATCCCCCCTCAGTTGATCATTGGCGGCCTGGACAAGATCGACCTGAACGACTGGAAGTCCAACACGCGCCTGAAACACTGCGTGGCGGACAGCAGCATCGTCCGCTGGTTCTGGCAGGCGGTCGAGGCCTTCGACGAGGAGCGGCGGGCCCGGCTCCTACAGTTCGTCACCGGTTCCACGCGTGTTCCTCTCCAGGGCTTCAAAGCCCTGCAAGGTGACTGAGGGGCAGCAGGGCCATTCGCCCTGGGCACCACACTTGTCCTGAACCTTCTAGAATGGCCTTTTGTAATGAAGAAGGGCTCAGCTGGCAGGTGCCCCTGGGACCCCCTGGGATCCAGGGCCGGGGAGGGGCACCTCATCCCTGGGGAGTGTTAGCTAGAATGCAGGGGGCTGGGGCACCGGGTCCCTGGGGTACGTTAACTAGAATGTTCTCTGGTAAGGCTCTACAGGCGCCGCAGGGCCTCGGCTCTTCACCATCCACCTGATAGACGCCAACACAGACAACCTGCCCAAGGCCCACACCTGGTAAGAGCACGGCAGGGTTCGGGGACTGGGGGCCCATCCCACATGGCCACGTGGCCAACAGCATGAGTCAGGACCAGACTTACCTGGGCTTATTCCCCGAACCTTCTTTCAAACGCCACCCTCCTGGGGACTCAGCAGGCCACAGCTCATGTTCTATGAGAAAGAGGTAGTCACAGAAGCCCTGGTGGTACAGTCGGCATATGTGTGGCTAACTGAGAGGTCAGTGGCTCGAATCCACCAGTTGCTCTGTGGGAAGAAGATGGGACATTAAGGAGTTCAGCCTTGGAAGCTCTTGGGAGACTCGGAATCGTCTCGGAGGCAGGGGTCCTTTCTCACTGCTCCCCGCCTCCCCGGCACATGGATATGCACACGTGTACAGTATACACATGTGCACACACATGGACACACACACTCAAGTAGACACACACACTTACGTAGACACACACACTGCCCCACTGCTGACACCTCCCTCGTCTGCCCCAGCTTTAACCGCATCGACATCCCGCCCTACGAGTCGTACGAGAAGCTGTACGAGAAGCTGCTGACGGCCGTGGAGGAGACGTGCGGGTTTGCCGTGGAGTGACAGTGGGGTCCCAGCCCACAGCACTCGCCATCCGGGGCCTCCCGTAATGCCGAGGCTGGGACCCCCGAGGACCCGAGGGGGTCAGCCTCTCTCCTCCTCACAGAACCCCACCCTCATCATCCATCCAGTGAAGGGCAGCAGGTTTGGTCCAGTGAGAAACTCCACACTGGTGGGGACAGCTGTGGGGACCTGAGCCTGGGCCTCTGTGGGGGGCGGAGCTGTGCACCCTCCTGAGCAGGACTTGCCTTCCGTCCGAGCGGCCTGTCGGGGCAGAGAGCGCCAGCGGGTGCCTGCTGGGGTACCCGGCCACCCCTCGGGAAGGACGCCATGTCGGGAGGCCGGGGCGTGGCTGTCCGGACGGCCCGGCTGACAAGTTCGTTTTGCACAGAGAAACCTCTCCCTCCAAGCCCCACCTTGTCCTTTCTCCAGTGAAGTCACAGCACAGTGGGGCTCAGCAGAGCCTGGGCCAGGCCAGCCTTAGACCCGCCGGCGTCCCAGGCCGGGTGTCCGCGCCCCCTCCCCTCGGACTGAAGTCCCTGCCCATCGAGGGGACCTGCTGCCCAGTACAGCAGCTGGCTCAGTGCAGCCAGGCCAGAGCTGACGGTCCCCGCCCAGATGCCCACGTGGGAGGAGGAGGGCCAGACCAGCATGAACTCGCATCCACAGGAGGCCCTGCGGTCGAGTGTCTCATCCTCACATCGAGCTCTGGCGAGCTCAGGCCCCTGGCTCTGCAGTGAGGGCCTCCAGCGATCGCTTATCACCCCCTCAGCCGCTGGTCAGAGACGGATCCAGCCCTGCGCTTGTTGGTGCTGCGGGTGGCTTGTGTGTCCTGTGTGGACGTGCCCGGGCACTCGGGCCTCGCCCTTAATGAGAGGCTGCTGGGCTGGGCTCGGGGCAGGAAGGACATTGTGGGGGTTTGCTGCAAAGATGGGGCTGCCGACGTCCCTGTGGGGATGGCCCCTCTTCCCTGGATGTCAGCATCTTGAGAAAAGAAACCGCACACCTCAAGACAGGGCTGCCTGAACATGAACCCCAATGTGAGGTGGCCCCGACGCCCGAGGGCACCCCACTCTTGCCCGCTGGGGCGCTGACATTGGCGACATTAGGAAGGAAACCAGGGTCTACGGTTTAACAGGCTTTTGAAGTAGGAGCGTTTCCTTTGACGCTGAAATGACCTAGCTGTCAGGCGGCTGGGGGCCCCCTCCCCGGAATGGCCGTGCCACCACGTGCTGTCCCGGGAGGGCTTGCTTGGCTCCTCTGCCGCCCGTCCGTCTGTCTGTCCGTCCATCGTGTGGGGTCTCAGACCCATCTGCTGTCTGCTGTGAGTGTCCCAGAGCCCCACCTCCGCCTGCCAGGCTGCACCCCAAGAACCTTAACTGCAGCGGCCCCGTCCTCCCGGAGCCACCAAAGAGTGACCGTGGCAGCAGGGGCCGAGCGCCCGGCCACCTTCGGCCCCGGGGCTTTGCGCCTGACCTCTGGCCGTCCACAGCGGCCTCGTCGACACTCAGGGATGTAGCAAACCACCGTCCACAGCCCCACGCGGGGACAGCGGAGCCGAGCAGGGACTGACCTGGCCAGGAGGTGTCAGAGAGGGTGGCCCCCCAGCCTGGCAGCTACGCTGCGGTCAGGCAGGACCTCTGCAGGGGGACCCTCAGCCAGGCCAGATGGCATGGGCTTTTCAGATTGGTTTATTTTTGTTTATCAACCACTTTATAATGTATTTTTTAATTTATTTTGTAACGTCTTGTTTTTTAAGTATTGCTGCTATCCTTGTTATTCTTCCCACCATTTTTATGGCTGATTTATTTTGTGGAAGTTGTACACTAAGATTCTGTCGTCTGTCCAAATCAGAAGTATTTAAAGATGTGCGCGTTCTGTCTCATGTTGCTGTGGAACCAGCTGGAAACCACGCAGCACCGCAGCGGGCGGCGCCGGCGGGTCCGTTTTGTTACATATGCAATAAATTCACAACTTCACAGCCGGCCGTCTCCTGTCTGGATGTGGCTGGGACACTGTGAAAAGGGGACACACGGGACACCAGCCTGCAGGGGTTATGGGCCTGTGATCCTGCCAGGAACCCACATTGGGTATACGCCTGGACCTGCCCCATGTCTCACTGGTCATGGAGTCTGAACAAGGTGGTGGACCTCGAGTTCTGCACGGGCTTCCTCCAATCGGGGGCTTCTCTGAGCATCCCGCAGAGGACCTGGTGGGGATCCCTGAGCAAAGTTCAACCGTGGTCCTCAGGACTGGGCCCCGCATTTTGTCGCCACATGGTGGGTTTCAATGACTAGCAAGTCAGACAGTTTTGCAGAAGGAAAGCTGTAGATTTATTTGAGAATGAGAAAATCCTGCAGGACACACGGAGCCTGGGAGGCACGTCTCCGCAGCAGCAGACACTCAGAGAGGTCAAGGGAGGTTCTGTTTGCAGTGTTTGTTTTGGGCAGACAGCTACACCTGTTCCCTCTTCGACCTGAGCACACTTCCAGGTGGAACTGGGTGCAAGGGCGTCTGGGAGGTGGTGGCGTGACACACAGGGAGGTCGCGCTAGCCTCTGGTTTGAGTTCTGCCCTCTGAATCACCACCTTAGGGAACTGCTGTGCATGTGTATTGATGTCTAATCTGGTCTGTCCTGAAAAACGCCGTGGTGGTCTGCGTTGACTAAGTGGAGACCCTAACTCTTGGATGTTCAGACACTGCCCCATTGCCATCACACCCCGTTGTTTGATGACGGTTTTGCCTGTTTCAGCAATGCTTGGTTGGGCATGTGCCACCACCCTGAATGCTGCAGTGCGGGGGGCAGGGGGCCCTTTGGTTTTTCTCTCTTCCTAACGCCTTAGGTCATGTGAGCCACTGCCCTGGACTTCCCGCCGTCCTCGTTCTCTAGATCCCTTTCTCTGCAGTTTGTCTGACACCTTGAAGGGACCCCCACCTGCCCTGGCCCCCACCCGGGTCTCCCCTGCTTTCCAGAGTGCATGTGACCCGTTTTCTGAGGGGGGCCTGAGATTTGCTTGGTTTGTTTTACGGCTTTCTTCTGGGATGGGCGACTCAAGCCTGTCACAGACCATGAGTATCACATCTCATCCCTGGAGGGAGGGCAGCAGGTGAAGATACAGGGGTGCACACTTCCCATCTGGGGGACGGGGTGGCAGATGAAAGTACAGGGGTGCACACCTCACATCTCAGAGGCAGGTTGGCACGGAGTGCAGAGGAAGCAGAGGACCTTGTGTGACCTGGGACCTGTCACGCACAGTGCCTGTTTCCTCACTTGTGAACAGAGGTTCTGCAGCACCGAAGTGAAGTGTTCAGAGCCGAGGTGGCAGCTCCACTGGCTAGCCCTCACCCCATTCTTCGGGGCGTTCCCCAGGCTGTTCATCTTGGTCTGCCCCAGGACCCCCACTAGTGGTGCTTCCCGCAAACGATACCTGGGATAGGCGGGGCCTCCGGACTCTGCTGTGGGGCAGGAGGGCACATGCCAGGTGCCTGGGTCAGCTGATGCAACTCTTGGTGGCAGATGGGGACACTCCCAGTGTTTCTTAGCTATGCTCTTGTGTACCTAGATAGCCAGGCCTCCTCCTGGGGCCGCGGCATGGTCAGCTGTTGGTTCTGATCGTGCCATACCCTGTCGCTTCCACGGCCACAAGGTCCCACACACCTGCCTGGATGCTGAGGGGAGCTTGTACACCCCTCACTGTCCAGTAGCCTGTGCCCTGATCTGAAAACATGGCACACGATGCTGCTGGATGCCCAAGCCATGGGCACTGTCCACTTGGCTGCATCATGGCCAGCACTCCTGTCACCACAACCACCGCTAGTGTGGTCCACAGCTGGGGCCTGTGTCTACATCTGCGATCACACCAAAGACATGCGCCACCATTCAACACAGACGGATGACAGAGCCTTTTAGAAAATATTTATTCTAGAAAAAATCACACTGTACAATAGAACATTCTCAGTATGCAGATTTAGAAAATGTGGACCTAACAGCAAGACTGGCGTTAACAGAACTTCTGTCCTGCTTCTTTTAAATTAAGAAGGGAAAGTGATTTTTTTTTCCCAAGTCCGATGAAAACACATGCCTCAGAGGTCGGAGGCAGCTGAGAAGTGGCCCCAGTCCCTGGCCCCCCACATCCTCAGGCCCCTCCTGCTGGGGGAGGGGACCCTGCTGGCCACTCCGCTCCCAGCGCTGGCTGCGGGCTCAGGGCAGAGCCAGCCCGGTGCGTCCATGCCCTCCACCGAACAGGCGGCCTCAGGACCGGGCACGGTTAAAGCGGCCACATGGGCGGGCGAGAGGGGCTGATAAAAAGAATTCACAAGGAAGCCAGGACCCAAAGCCCAGCTTCTTAAAAGGTGACTTCAAAGCTCACAGTGTGCATGGCCCAGCGCCCGCTACACTGTTCCTCTTTCCACACATGATGGAGAGTAACAGCAGGACGCTGACCAGTACCGTGAGCAGAGGCAGGGCGGGGGCCCAGGGTGCACCGTCACACTGCGTGGACACGGGGCCACTGTCACAGCCAGGGGTGCCAGGCGGGGTCCATGCGGCATAGGTTGTCCAGGCTGTTGGCAGCGGCCACCAGGGTGTTCACCTTGCTCTCCCCGCCCTCGAACTGTGCCAGGTTGTGCAGGCGTGTCACGATGGCGGTCACTGCCTTCTGGACCAGGGAGACCAGCTGCTGGCTGTCCATGTTCTCGGGCTGCCCGGCTGCTGAGAGCGGGGAGGACATGTCCTCCTGCGTCTTCTTGTGCCACGCGATGATCTCGTCTCGCAGCACCGTCTTCAGGATGCCGTCCACCTGAGGCGGGAGACATACCTGGGGCTCAGGGGCGGATTCCCGGGGCCCCAGTCCAAACCTCACCTGGAGCATGAGTGTGCGGGTCACAGGATGGGAGAGCGAGAGAGCAACCACGAGTCCAGACAGAGATGGGGACACGCAGCGAGGATGACCACGAGGCCCAGGTCCTAAGGCCCCATCTGAGCGCTGCCCTGGGGTGGTTTTTGCCTCGGTGGGGACTGTGGGCCAGTGCCCAGCTTGGGAGCCTAAAGGTGGCCGACTTCCTTGTTAGTCACAGCCGCCACCCCCAGGCAGCCTTCCATGCTGATGGCCATACTCCTTGACCACAGAGCCTGCTGTCTAGAAACACTGTGAATAGCAGCGTGTGCTCAGAAAGCTGCTGGGGGGGGGGGGAGTGTGTGTGTGTGTGTGTGTTCACCACGATGGGACCGACTGGAGCTACTGGGGTGACTCCGCTCCAGCACGGGGAGTTGAAAGGGACCCACCTTAAAATTGGGCTGGGCGAAGCAGCGGGCTACGGCGATCATGGAGGCCGTCAGTGGGCCAGACACGCCGATGGTGGTCAGGAACTCGGAGATGTTGGGGGTGAGGCGGAAGGGGACAGGTCGGTTGGCGTCCAGGTCTCCCGTGGCATCATTGATATCAAACCGGAAGTACGCGACGTTCAGCTTTCCCGTGTCCTGGATTCCAGCAGGAGGCATTTAGGAAGGAGACGCAGGGCAGGGGGCGAGGCCGGGGAGGGGGCTGGCTGTGCAAAGCGGGCTACCTGAGCAATCTGCAGCATCTCGGGGTTGAGTCGGTTCAGGTGCAAGACGAACTCGGCAAAGCCGATGAGGGCCAGCTGGATGGTGAACATCTTGCGGAAGGTCCAGTAGTCGGTGGCGTTGGGGAGGGTGTGCAGCGCCCACTCCCTCAGCATGCTTCGTGGCACCATGTTGCTCTGCACCTCCTTGAGGATGTCCCGGAGGACCTGCGGCCAAAGGAAAGGGACCTGGGAGACGCTCGTCAACCTCACCGCGGAGGACCTTCTGCTGGCCTGCCCACATGACCCTCGCACCCACGGCCTGAGTTTACAGAAAGTTCCAGTCAAGTCTGCCGTGGATTCAACTGCACAGCCCTGAGAACAGGTGACACCTTGGCAAGCCCTCGATTCTGTGTCCTTAACTGTCCGGTGTCTGGGACCTAATCCTCTCGCTGTGCGTCCTCGCCTCATGCCGCTGCTGGGGCCGAATCAGGGACAGATGACCCACAGCTCTGGGTTGTGTCCTGAGTCATAAGAGGTTACACAGATTGGAGGAACCTAATGCCACCAAGAAGAGAGGAGAGGGCAGCCTTTAAAACGGGTTCCTGTGTCGGGAACCTCCTGAAGCAGGGAAAGACGCAGGCTGAAAGGAGATGAGGACCTCCTTCCCTGGGCCTCCTGAGCTGTGCGAGTGCTGTGTGTCTCGGAAGCTTTCCCAATCTGTATTTGTTAGATCAGCACAGGTGACTCAGACCCTTGTACACAAAAGCAGAGTGTGTGGTCTGTGTGACTGAGAATGTGTGAGTGCCCCAGAGCCGTGCCTGCACCTGCTTACTACAGAGTACACGACAGTCAAGAGTCAGCAAGTGGCCAGTCTCCTCGTGGTACATGAACACAGGCTGCTGTCCCAGTCAGCAAGGACCTTCAGATAGTTCCCCTCAGTTACTATAAAAATCACAGCTTATGTGGTGAATTTTTTGGTAGAAACTGGCAAATCCTCTGGAAATGCAAAGGACCCAAGACAGACAAAATAGACTTGAAAAAAATGACTGGAAAACTCACTTCCAATTTTATAACTTCCTGTCAGAGACCTCTCCAGAGTACTGAAGAGCAATGATATCAGTCTGTAGACTAAGGTGCACTTGATACAGACCACGGTCTTTGCAATCACTTGCTATGCATCAGAGAGCTGGGCAATTACTAGGGATGATAGGAGGAGAACTGTCTGACATACTTTGGACATGTTGCAAGGAGGCACCAGTCCTTGGAGAGGGATGTCATGCTTGGGAGGGTAGAGGGACAGCGCAGGAGAGGAAGACCCTCGATGAGATGGATAGATTCAGTGACTGGGGTAAAGGGGGGAGGTGTGTCAGTGACCATAAGATTGGCACGGGATAGAGCAGGGTTTAGAGTTGTACACAGGGTCGCTATGAGTCGCAGGTGACTTGATGGCACATAACAACAACTCAGTCCTCAGAACAGCATGGTTCTGGCATAAGGAAAGATGTCGCAGATCAATGACAGAGAAGGAACAGTCCAGAAGTAACAAAGTGCAGTCCCTGCCTCATACCACACACAAACTCAGTGACTCCAAGGCTACACGGAAGAAGGAAAACAGACTCCTGGACGGGACACTGGAGCCAAACTTCTTACCTCGGACTGAACCCCAACAGCACAAGCCACCCACCCGAAAACTGCTTAACTGGACTAGTTATGAAAAGTTTTGTTCCTTAAAAGACATCCTTAAGAAAAGTGACATGGGCGAGCTCTGGTGGCCTAGTGGCAAGAAGCTGCAACTGCAATCTCAGAGATGCACGTTTCAAATCCACCAGATGCTCTGCTGGAGAAGGAGGGACAATCTCCTCCTGTACCAGTCAGATCTGATTTGACGGTACACACAAAAAATAATGAAATAAATTAAAAAAAAATAAATAAAAGTGACATGATATTCCACAGGATGTGAGGTATCATTTGCAAATCATGTAGCTCTAATCAACAACAAGTAAAAGTCAATAATAAAAAGACACCCAAGGTTGGGACACAAAGAATTAGATGGTCATTTCTAAGAAGTTATGCAAATGGCCAATAAGCGCGCGCGCGCACACACACACACACACACAAGCATCATCCCCTTTCTCATCATGCCAAGTTCAGCCCTGCTGGAAACATGACCGACAAGCACTACTGACGAGTCATTAGCCCCACACTCCATTGGTCTTCTCTGGCAAAGTGGCCAAGTTCCTCACGCCAGGCAATGTAACAGTCCACCATCACTCCTGCATCTACATCCAGGAGCAAGAAAACCCTCGTGCAGACAAAAATGCAGCTAGAAACCACCTAAGTGACGAAGCCAGCCAGAAATGACACGGAGGGTAAAATCCCATTTCTCTAAGGCTCTGACAGGCACATCGAGAGACAGAGGGACGTGTGAACAAATCCCATTTCTCTAAGGCTCTGACAGGCACATTGAGAAACGGAGGGAGGTGTGAGCACAAGCTGGGAGAAGGTGCTAGTGGGCGCGACAAAAATGTTCCCAGACGAGACAATGGGGAGAGGGCTGTGCGAGTGGACGGGCACTCACAGAACGGTGCGCTCGGAGAGTCTACAGCAGGTGAGGGACATCTCAGGGAAGGTGTGACAGAAGACGTGAAGGGCGAAAAGTCGAACAGTGACAGAGGGAAGGAGGGACAGTGGAGAGGAGGCAGTCTGCGTCTCTGGCCGGTGGTAACTGCCCGCAGCAAGAGTCACAGAGCTGGTGCAGCGCTGCGTCGGGAAGGCCCCTCCTCGCTCGCTCCAGCCGCCCTGCACGGTACCTGGTGGCTGGCCTGGGTGCCCCGCGCCTGCACCGTGGCCAGTCTGTCGTAGTAGCGGGAGATGGGGTTGTCGTGCTCAATGCCCTTCTTGGCGCAGCGCTGCTTGTAGATCTCCACCAAGGACAGGGACGAGGGGTTGTCTTCCACAAGGCGCATCTGGGGGGACACGGCCACCACCCGGGGAACTGGGGACAGAGGGAGAGTCAGTGGACCAGAGATCTCCTGGCCGCCCAAATGCAGAGGACATAAAGGGGCTCCTGGGAGAGCCCGGGTGTCCACACCCCACATCACTGGGCCAGCAGTGACACGAGGTTTAGCCTCTGAGCCCGCAGCGGGACACGGATGGAGGGGCTTCTTTGATAGAATCTTAGCAAATAACCCACATTTCTTGAAAACCTCTCTCTATAGGGCTATTGATGCCCCATTGGGAAAGGTGCCTAAGACTGAACTTCTAGAAGAGAGGTAACCCGTGACTCGAACGTGGTTCCATGAGAACCACCAGGGCCCCCCCAAAACGTACAGGGCGACCAGCACTCAGCCTGCACAGGGACGACATTCAGTCCACAGCCACTGGGAGCCAGCTGAGCTCTGGCTGACCCATCCACGCTGTGACCCCTGGGCCTGTCATCCCATGCCCCCTTCACAGGGTTGACAGCTTTCAGGGAGAGATTAACTCAAGGTAACTGACATCTGGTTGACACAAGTCAGGAGCAGTGGGCCCCGCCCTCCCCGCGGCCCCGCCCTCCCCGCGGCCCCGCCCTCCCCGCGGCCCCGCACCTGTGAAGAACAGGTGCCGCTTGGTGGTCTCCTTCCGCTTCTCCAGGCAGGGGTTGAGCAGGCGCAGCAGCTGCAGCACGCGCTCCTCCCGCCGGGACTCCGTGAGGCAGGCGTCGTTCATGACCAGGTAGGGGTAGATCTTGCCGTTGTGGCCACGGATGTAGAGCCTGCGGGCTGCCGTGTTGTGCTTCTGCACAATCTCCACGCGGGGCATGAACCTGCGGGCCGGCCACTGTCACACCCGGGTCACGTCCGGGCCACCCGGAGTGGCCACCCGGCGCAGCCACCTGGCGTGACCACCCAGCATGGCCACGTCCACGTCCAGGCCACCCGGCACCCCACACTGGGCCATCCGGCACAGCCACCCTGCATGTCCACATCCAATCCACCCAGAGCGGCCACCTGACACGGCCACGGCCACGTCCACATCCAGTGCACCTGGCGCGGCCAGCCAGCACCCCACGTCTGGGCCACCCAGCGCGGCCACACCTGGCCGGCCACTCACCGCGCTATCTTGATATAGTAATGCGTGGGCTTGGGCATCAGGAACTCCCCCGGGATCTCCACCTCTGCCGTCTGCGCTGAGAAGTTGCTGAGGAAGCGACACTTCTCCTCAATGAGGAAGAACTTCGGGAGCTGCTTGGTCTTGGCCTCCAGGATTTTAATCCACTTCTTCAGTTTAGAAATGAGGTTGTGCAGCTTCATGGATCCCGGAACACTGAAGTCGAAATCTTGCAAACATGGAGTTATACTTTAGTTACACCGAGCTCAGAGCCACAGGCCTCGGCACACCCTCCCTGACCGGGGGAAAGTGCCCCTGCCTCCCCAGCGAGGTTCAGGCCAGAGGAGCCACAGGGGGCCTCATGCCAGCTTCTGCTTAGGGGTGCAGCCCTGACCTCAAGATGCCCACAGTTCCTGGTCATGAACACTGCAGCCCCTGCCATGAGATAACTGGCCGAGCAGGGGACAGAGGGATGGAAACCAAGCCGAGGGTGATGAGGCCATTAAGGAGGGTCCCCAGTCCTCTGGAAACACTGGAGGCAAACAGACTTTCACATTCCCACCAACTAGGTCCAGCAGGCCTGACTCAGCTGCCCCCAGGGGGAATGGAGCACTGCCCACAGTGTCCCAAGACCGTAATCATGGAAGTGGCCACAGACAGACAGACAAAGATACAGAGACACACAGAAACACACACACACAGACACACA